TATAGACTGTTCAAAATCCAGACTATTGACTGTTCTATAGTCCAAACTGTAGACTGTTCTATTGTCCAAATTATAGACTGTTCTATAGTCCAAACTATAGACTTGTTCTATTGTCCAGACTATAGACTGTTCTATAGTCCAGACTATAGAATGTTCTATAGTCCAGACTATAGAATGTTCTATAGTCCAGACTATAGAATGTTCTATAGTCCAGACTATAGAATGTTCTATAGTCCAGACTATGGAATGTTCTATAGTCCAGACTATAGAATATTCGATAGTCCAGACTACAGAATATTCTATAGTCCAGACTATAGAATGCTCTATAGTCCAGACTATAGAATGCTCTATAGTCCAGAATAGTCTATAATGTAGATTGTTCTATATTCCAGACTATATACTAATCTATAGTCCAGACTATAGACTGTTCTATAGTCCAGACTATAGACTGTTCTATAGTCCAGACTATAGACTGTTCTATAGTCCAGACTATAGACTGTTCTATAGTCCAGACTATAGACTGTTCTATAGTCCAGACTATAGACTGTTCTATAGTCCAGACTATAGACTGTTCTATAGTCCAGACTATAGACTGTTCTATAGTCCAGACTAGTTATAGTTTTGACTATAATCAAAACTATAGACTAGACTGATTAATATAAATTTTAAAATTCTATATTTGCAGATTGAACGATTTGCATTAGGACGTCTAATACTAAGGTCTAAAATCACTATTTGTGGCATGTTTAATGTGGATTTGAATTCTCTATTCTTAATGGTAGCTGAAATTTTTCTTACAACAATTATGTTAGTTCAATTAGAATTTTCGCTATTGCAACTTTATCTATAATTTCTAATAAAAAGTTCAAATAAAAAATGTTTAATCTTTCTGATAGCTCTTAATTTTAAAAATGGTGCTGGTTTTATGGAAAAAAATGTAGGCCAATCTTTGGTATTGATTTAAGATTTGAATCTATATATTGGTCTATAGTAAAGACTACACTAGAACAGTCTCTATGGTCCCGCCTATACCCTTGACTATAATCCCGTCTATAGTTTTGAATATAATCCAGTCTATAGTGCAATCTATAGTGTTTACTACACAACAGTCTATAGTTTTGACTATAGACAAATCTACTGTCTTAACTTTATTGTTATATATAGGTCATCATGTAGTCTTGACTATAAACCATTGCCAAGCGTTGCCACGATAATTGCATCTACTATTTATCTAAATTATATTTCCTAAAAATTTTGATACTGACCCACTGTTCTTAGTAACAAGTCTAAATTGTTTCAATAGTTCGATAAATATGTTTGATGTTTTTTATAATTTATTTTTTCTTTTCTCAGGGGTATCAAACGCCATGTCTTTAATTAAAAATTCCTTTATTAAAAAGGGAAAACTAATATATTACTGCCCAAATACTTCCTAAATAATATTTAGTTTTCATTTAATAGTCATTCATCATGTTAGATTGGTTCAACTTGCTATTACGCTTAACCCTTTCTCATGGTATTTTTACGGGGTTTTCCACCGTCTATATCGATTTGAATGGACGCATTGTAAAGCTACATATTATTGTGAAAATATTTGTGTATTTGCAAGATATTATATATATTATTTACTCAGCATATGACACCATAACCGTATATAAACCTTTAGAATATTCAAGTCAACTCGATATCTTTACATTTTATGCAAACAGTCTAACTCGCATACATTTATGTTTTATACTCATTCTGTGGCGGATTAAAGGCGAGAGGGCCTTTAGAAAATATCTCGAGTTACTTGTTGTATTGCAGACAAAATATTTTGATAAATTGAAAACTATTAAAGATGATAGAAAAACAAAAATAATTTTGATAATAAACATGTTCATGTTATCTGGACTTAATGGGTGCGGTTTATATTTGTTTGTCTTAAATTTCATAGATCGTATGCCTTTGGAAATTTCCACATACTTTTATTTAACGGTGTATATATTTGGTATGATTGAAACTATTTTGTTGCTACATTCCCTTATATTATGCTATTTAAATCAATGCTTTACAACATTAAATTATAATCTGCAACATGGCAGTGTGGAACCGCCTTTCGGCTATATTTACTTTGAAATATCAAAGTTGGTGGAACAAGTAAATGTCATTTTTGGACCAACCATATTTGCCGTACTCTTGGCTATGCTGATAATAAATGCGATAATGTGTTTTAGCTTTTATTCAAATTTTCATATATTTGGTATTGTAGAAACTCTCGTTTATTTCAAATGGTACATTTGTTTATTCGTGTTTTTCTGTTCGGGTTTGTATTTGTATTATGCTATGTGTGAACGGATATGCGAGACCATGAGTGAAACAGATAACATTATATTGGAATATAGCACCAGAAAAGAAAATTATGAGGTTAGTATTAATATTCAGGTCACCGGTAAGGCAAAGAGTAAGTCGACTAACATGTTTGTTTTCCTTTTTTTAATGAAAATATTACAGGTTGAACGCTTCATTTTAGGACGTTTAATGCTGAGGCCTAAAATCGATATCTGTGGCATGTTTATTGTAGATATAAATTCGGTATTATTGCTGTTGGCTGAAATTGTTCTTACTGCAGTTACGCTAATTCAATTAGATTATATGAAATTGGCTAGCTTCATAGAGAAGGATTTAAAAATAGAGCATATAGAGATATATCAGGACAGCATTCGGGAACAGTAAACCAAATCAAAATCCTTGAAGAAAGTGCTATGAAGGAGATAAAAACACTTTTTTGGGTATAACTGAAAGAAATGGAACCTTGATCTTAGCAATAAAATGAAATATTTTATAAAAATATATTTACAGCACTTAACAATTTCTAGAGTTTTCTTGTCTGCAATAAAAATTTCATTAAGCTATATTTTTATATATTCATGTGTGTTTTTGGAAATTGTTGTGATATCGAAAAAAGTGGTATATAGTCAAAACTATAACCTGGTCTTAATTCCAACCTATAGGTATAGGGTCAAAACTATAGACTAACTATAGTGAAAAATATATACTGTTCTATAGTCAAGACTATAGAGTGTTCTATAGTCAAAATTATAGACTATTCTATAGCCAAGACTATAGACTGTTCAATATTCAAGACTATAGACAGTTCCATAGTCAAGGCTATAAACTGTTCTATAGTCAAGACTATAGAATGTTCTATATTGAAGATATAAAATGTTCTATATTGAAGATACAGACTGTTCTACAGTTAAGACTATAGAGTGTTCCATAGTCAATACTATAGACTGTTCTATAGTCAAGACTATAGACAGTTCAATAGTCAAGGCTATGAAGTGTTCTATATTCTCGACTATAGAATGTTCTATATTGAAGACTATAGACTGTTCTACAGTGAAGAATATAAGCTGTTCTATAGTCAAGATTATAGACTGTTCTATAGTCAATACTATAGACTGTTCAATAGTCAAGACTATAGACTGTTCAATGTCGACTATGGACTGTTCCATAATCAAGACTATAGACTGTTCTATAGTCAAGACTATAGACTGTTTAAAAGTCAAGACTATAGACTGTTCAATAGTCCAGACTATAGACTGTTCTATAGTGAAGAATATAGACTGTTCTATAGTCAAGACAATAAACAGTTCTATAGGATTGTTCTATAATCAACACTATAGACTGTTCTATAGTCAAGTCTATGGACTGTTCTATAGTCAAAAATATAGACTGTTCAATAATCATGACTATAGACTAATCTATAGTCAAGACTAAAGACTGTTCTATAGTCAAGACTATGTATTGTTCCATAGTCAAGATTATAGACTATTCTATAGTCAAGGCTAAGGATTGTTGTTTTATAGTCAAGACTATAGACTGTTCAATACTATAGACTGTTCTATAGCCTATTCTACAGTCAAGACTACGGACTGTTCTGTAGTCAAGATTATAGACTGTTCTATAGTGAAGAATATAGACTGTTCTATAGTCAGTACCATATACAATCCTATAGACTATTCTATAGTCAGGACTATAGACTGTTCTATAGTCAAGACTATAGACTGTTCTATAGTCAAGACTATAGACTGTTCTATAGTCAAGACTATAGACTGCTCTATAGTCAACACTATAAACTGTTCTATAGTCAAGACTATAGAGTGTTCTATCGTCAATACAATATACTGTTCTATAGTCAAGACTATAGACTGTTCTATAGTCAAGACTATAAACTGTTCTATCGTCAATACTATAGACTGTTCTATAGTCAAGACTATAGACTGTTCTATAGTCAAGACTATAGACTACTCTATATTCAAGACTGTAGACTGTTCTTTAGTCTAGACTATGAACTGTTCTATATTCAAGATTGTAGAATGTTCTATATTGAAGACTATAGACTGTTCTACAGTGAAAACATGTACTGTTCTATAGTCAAGACTATAGACCTATAGTATTGACTATAGAACAGTCTATAGTTCTATAGTCAAGACTATATACAATACTATTGTTAAAACTATAGACTGTTCTATTGTCAAAACTATAGCTGTTCTATTATCAAGACTATAGACTGTTCTACTGTCAGGACTATAGACTGGTCTATAGTCTACATTCCCTTACTCTAAGTAATAAAAATTATTGTAAAAATACATAAGTTTTGTATACATACATACAACTATTATTAAGGGCTCCCAGCAAAAAACTTACATTGAAAATTAAGTCATTATTTTAACACGCTCGCTTAAATACCTCCTGCAGAAATACCGTTAAGTAAGTAGTTTTGTAGACGGTATGTAGTAATCATTGAAAAGTAAGTTGTTTAGTGTTTTTGCTGGGTTTCAAAAAATTTATAAAATTTTTTGATGTTTTTGTAATAACACTTTACTATTCTCAAGAGTTTCGTATGTAATATCATTGAAATTCCTTTATGAAAAAATTAAAATAATAAAATTACTAACCTATCCTAATTTAATATTTTTTTTTTTTAACAATTCTTTAAAACAGTCATTCATCATGTTATATTGGTTCAACCGGCTTTTACGTTTTACCCTTTGCCACGGCATATTTAGCGGTTTCTCTACCTTCTATGTGGATTTAAAGGGACGTCTGGTAAAATTTCATATTGTTGTGAAGATATTTGTGTATTTGCAAGATCTGGCTTATATTATGTATACAGCATATGATGCTATAATCGATTATAAACCACTTGAAGCTTCAACTCAACTTAATGTCTTTACATATTGTGCTGAAGCTTTTACACGTCTACATGTTTGTATTATGCTTATATTATGGCGTATTAAAGGAGAGAGGACCTTTCGGAAATATCTAAACTCTCTGGTTGTGGTGCAGACAAAGTATTTCGATGAATGGCAACATATTGCAGATGATAAAAAAACAAAAAAGATTTTAATATTAAATATGATCATATTAAGCGCAAGTAATGTGCCCGTTATATATTTGTGGATTTTAAATTTTACAAATGATCGTCCGTTGTAACAATCGATAAATTATTATTTAACGGTGTATATGTTTGGTATGGTACAAACTGTTTTGTTGCATCATGCTATTATATTATGTTATTTAAATCAATGCTTTACAATATTAAATAATAATCTACAGAATGAACAAGTACAGTCACCATTCGGAAATATATACTTTATATTGTCGATGTTGTTGGAACAAGTTAATATCATCCTGGGACCGACCATATTCTCCGCACTCTTGTATATACTGGTAATAGCTTCCATATTATGGTATAGTTTTTATTCCAATTTTATTATATTTGGCCTGTTGGAGATAATAACTTCTTTTCCCATGTTTTTTTTGTTCACTCATCTTTTTTTGTACCGATTTGTATTTATATTATGTTATGTGTGAACGACTATGTGAGACCATGAAAGAAACCGATAACATTATATTGGAATATAGTACCAAAAATGAAAGTAATGAGGTTGGTATTGAAATGCTTTTTACACGATTTATTTAAGAAAAATTATTTTTTTTATAATATTTTGACTAAAATATCTTTTCCCGTTTTTTACCGTTGCAGGTTGAAAGATTCATTTTGGGACGCTTAATGCTGAGACCTAAAATCAATATTTGTGGCATGTTTATGGTAGATCTAAATTCATTTTTATTGGTGTTAGCTGAAATTCTTGTTACTGCAACTACGCTTATTCAGTTGGATTATATGAAAATGTTCGACTATAAAAAGCTGAATTTAAAAATAGAAAATGGTGAGGCATACTCAGCTGCCGTTGAGAAAAATTGAAGAGAATTTCAAAAACAAAGTGTTAAAGGTCATTTTAACGATGAGCTATTGCATATTTATAGAATTACTGGAAAAGCAAACTTTAAAATTATACAAATTTAAATTTTCAATGAAAAGTCTTTTTTTAAAACACATTTAAAAATGCAATTTCTTACAGCACTTAGAAGTGATTTTATTTATAATAAAAATATTGTTATAAATCTAACCGGAAGTCTGATCATTACGAAAATCAGCAGAGTATTATTAAGACTTATATAAAACAAAATTTTGTCGATTTATGGAGGGATACAAGAACATTTAACATATTTATGAGCTAAAAAGCCCTATTGGGAGGGCACGCTTGTATGGGTGCTATAAGAAATAAAGAGGAGTATGTGCCTAATTTCATCTAATTATCTTGAAAATTGCGACCTGTAGAGTGCAAGGACACACAGACGGACAGACAGACAGACGGACGGACGGACAGACGCACGGACATAGCTTAATCGACAGCAGTATTGTTGTTGCTTATTTATCAAAGCATGCAAAAATTAGTCTTTTTTTATGAAATTTTCAGAGGTTGTCTCGGATTTTGCTGATTTTAAATAGGAAACTTCTCGAAAGCATATTTGAGAGAATTATTGAAGATTTGGATCCCGAAGATATCAGGGATCTTCAGAAAACTGATTTCAACGGACAACAGACGGACATGGCTTAATCAACTCCGCAGTCTATAAGGATTCAGAATATACTTTATAGAGTCAAAAAATTATATTTTAGAAATTACAAACGGAACGACAAACTTATACATATGAAGGGTATATATTACTGAACACTTTTCAATGGGAAAATTTCTATAGGAAGATTTGGATCCCGAAGATATCAGGGATCTTCAGAAAACTGATTTCAAAAGACAGACGGACATGGCTTAATCGACTCCGCAGTCTATAAGGATTCAGAATATACTTTATAGAGTCAAAAAATTATATTTTAGAAATTACAAACGGAACGATAAACTTATATATATATATATATATATATATATATATATATATATATACCCTTCTCACATTACTGAGCACTTTCCAATGGGAAAAGTTGTCCAGTTACTGAGCAATTTTTAGGAATTTTCTATAAGAAAAGTTGTTCAGTTACTGATCCATTTGTCTATGAGAAAAGTAGCTATATATTACAATTATTATGTATAATTTACAATTGAACCCTGTAACAATGTAATGATTACATTGTAACCGTTTAAATACTTTAAATATATTTCAATAGAACGATAAATATCTCAACTGTTATTTAAATAAAAAATTATTATATTTTATCAAAAAATTAAATGAAATTTTCAATATGAAAACTAATGTAATGGAATATTTTCCACTTAATATTCCTCTATTTGTGTTAAACGGTCATCATGTCAAGTTGGCCTAACTGGTTTTTACATTTTACACTTTGTCACGGTCTCTTTGAGGGCTGCACTTCGCTCTGCATCGATTTAAAAGGACGCGTTGTTAAAACATATATTTTTGTGAAAATTGTTGTGTTCTTACAATATCTTTTATATGCTTTTCTTGTGATAAATCATACAGGAATAGATTTTATACAAGATAATATATATAGTTCTCTAACTTCGTCAGAAACTTTTTTTACTATTAGCGAAAGGATTTGCTGTGTTCTTGTATGTATTGTGTTTGTGTTGTGGCACTTTAGAGGCGACAAGGCCTTAAAGAATTATGTGGAAACTTATCTCGTATTAAAAACCAAATATTTCGATAAATGGCAGCATATTTCAGTACACACTAAAACAATTAAAATGCTAATAGGGAAAATGTTTCTAATTAACATAAATATTGTCTATAGTTTATACTTGGTGATACCACATATAATACAAAGAGATTGGGATAGTTTTACTATAGACTATGTGACAAGATATTCGATTATAATGCCTCATTTTATTATGCTGCATCATGCCCTCACATTGTGTTTTATAGATGACTGTTTGACAAAAATAAATAAGCAGCTGCAAGATGATCAAGTGGCAGAATCATTAGCCAACATTTACTATCAACTTTTCATGTTAATGCAGCAAGTGAATATCATCTTTGGTCCAACCATATTCTGCGTAATGATATGTATACTCGTGTTTTATTCAATCTTTTGTTATAGCGTAATTTTAACGGTTAAGTCAATGGAATTTTTATATATATTCTCTTTTGATTTCAACGAAACAATTTTTTATTTCATAATATGTATCGATTTGTTTCTATACTATGCGATATGTGAACAGTTATGCGAGACCAACAGGGAGACGGATAGTATTATATTGGAATATAGTGTTAGAACAGAACAAAACTTTGAGGTGAGTTCTATGTTTTTATATATTTTTTTTTTAATTACTAAATTCTAATACTTTGCAGATTGAAAAGGTAGTTTTGGTGCGCCTAGTCGTATCTCCTGATATCAATATTTGTGGCCTGTTTAAAATAAATTTGAAATCATTTTACACCCTGGCAGCTAATATTTTTCTTGTGGTTATTATGTTTATCCAAATAGATTATGACGAGTTTACTGACACTTAGAAAAAAACTGGTGATCACATAGCAATATTGAACAGTTCTGGATTTTAAACTAAAAAAAAATACATATTGTATTCTTGAATAACTTTTAAACATTCCTTTATTCGTCAAAAATATTAATATCTCAAAAGACCAATATATTTTTTATCTCAATAAATATCATCAAGAAAATGAAGAATTTTTATTTCTATATGAAAGAAAGAATCTAAAATAACTAATAACTTTATAAATAAACTTCTATGCGAGATAATGAGTTCACAACGCCAACTATGAGATTTACTTAGTTAGTTCAAGCATTAAAGAATATTTTGGAACCATAATTGACCAAAAATTAACTTTTAGACTGATACATCTGGCTGACTGATACTTCTCGCACTGATGGTGGTTAGACTCGGATTTACAGTAGCATATACAGAATAGTCTGTAGCTGGAACTACAGAATACTCTATAGTCTGGACTATAATCTGGACCTTAGCATAGTTTACAGTCTGCAGAGTAGTCTACATAGAGGGAAAAGGAAATATACACGCCCGGTACCAAATTGACACCAAAGAGTTTATACTATGATTATAGATGACTATAGACTAGACTATAGAATAGACTATAGACTAGACTATAGACTAGAGACTAGACTATAGACTAGAGACTAGACTATAGACTAGACTATAGACTATACTAGAGACTAGACTATAGACTAGAGACTAGACTATAGACTATAGACTATACTTCTCGCACTGATTGTGCTTAGACTCGGATTTACAGTAGCAGATATAGAAAAGTCTGTTGTTGGAATAGTCTATAGTCTGGACTATAATCAGTAATATATAATCTTGACCTTAGCATAGTTTACAGTCTGCAGAGTAGTCTACATAGAGGGAAAAGGAAATATACACGTCCGGTACCAAATTGACACCAAAGAGTTTATACTATGACTATAGACTAGACTATAGACTAGACTATAGACTAGACTAGACTAGACTATAGACTAGACTATAGACTAGACTATAGACTAGACTATAGACTAGACTAGACTAGACTATAGAATAGACTATAGACTAGACTATAGACTAGACTATAGACTAGACTATAGACTAGACTATAGACTAGACTATAGACTAGACTATAGACTAGACTATAGACTAGACTATAGACTAGACTATAGACTAGACTATAGACTAGACTATAGACTAGACTATAGACTAGACTATAGACTAGACTATAGACTAGACTATAGACTAGACTATAGACTAGACTATAGACTAGACTATAGACTAGACTATAAACTAGACTATAGACTAGACTATAGACTAGACTATAGACTAGACTATAGACTAGACTATAGACTAGACTATAGACTAGACTATAGATTTGACTATAGACTAGACTATAGATTTGACTATAGACTAGACTATAGACTAGACTATAGACTAGACTATAGACTAGACTATAGACTAGACTATAGACTAGACTATAGACTAGACTATAGACTAGACTATAGACCATAGACTAGACTATAGACCATAGACTAGACTATAGACCATAGACTAGACTATAGACCATAGACTAGACTATAGACCATAGACTAGACTATAGACCATAGACTAGACTATAGACTAGACTATAGACTAGACTATAGACTAGACTATAGACTAGACTATAGACTAGACTATAGACTAGACTATAGACTAGACTATAGACTAGACTATAGACTAGACTATAGACTAGACTATAGACTAGACTATAGACTAGACTATAGACTAGACTATAGACTAGACTATAGACTAGACTATAGACTAGACTATAGACTAGACTATAGACTAGACTATAGACTAGACTATAGACTAGACTATAGACTAGACTATAGACTAGACTATAGACTAGACTATAGACTAGACTATAGACTAGACTATAGACTAGACTATAGACTAGACTATAGACTAGACTATAGACTAGACTATAGACTAGACTATAGACTAGACTATAGACTAGACTATAGACTAGACTATAGACTAGACTATAGACTAGACTATAGACTAACTATAGACTAGACTATAGACTAGACTATAGACTAGACTATAGACTAGACTTAGACCAGACTATAGACTAGACTATAGACTAGACTATAGACTAGACTATAGACTAGACTATAGACTAGACTATAGAACTAAGACTATAGACTAGACTATAAGACTAGAATATAGACTAGACTATAGACTAGACTATAGACTAGACTATAGACTAGACTATAGACTAGACTATAGACTAGACTATAGACTAGACTATAGACTAGACGATAGACTAGACTATAGAACTAGACTATAGACTAGACTATAGAACTAGACTTAGACTAGACTAGACTAGAACTATAGACTAGACTATAGACTAGACTATAGACTAACTATAGACTAGACTATAGACTAAGACTATAGACCTAGACTATAGACTAGACTATAGACTAGACTATGAGACTAGACTATAGACTAGACTATAGACTAACTATAGACTAGACTATAGACTAGA